TAATGTAATTTATATGATTTTCTCCCATATGCAATGTTTTCCACAGCGACCTCTGAGTTACCAGGTCGTTTGTTTCTCTGTCATTGAATTGTTTTTAAATCCTATCTCATTTTAGTGCTTGGTGGAAGAAAATCACCAAGTCCACTTTTAACTCTCTCAAAAAGAGCATCCTGCCTCCAAGGGTAATAATTTTTCATAGAATCGTTTGTAGAATAATAGAACCATTTAGGTTGGAAAAGACCTTTAAGATCATCGAGTCCAGCTATAATTTTTGTGTTTAATGTTTGCTCCTGGGCTGTATGTCCTGGGCAAGGTACAGCACCAGGCAATGGATCCCCCCTGTCTCTGGATCAGAGCTGGTTGATGTTATACATGGTATTAACACATTTGTTAAACTCCAAAACCAGCCTGGGAAGTTCAGTAGGCATCTCTGTATCCTTTTTTTTTCTTTGCCTATGGGTGGTTGGATGGATATTTTACATGGATTTGCTGTGTGGTATCTTTTTAACTGGAAGGCTGCTGGCTGTGCTGGCAAGTGCTGTTTTTTCCTGTGAAATCCACTCCTGGATGGGCCACAAAGGAAAGGACAAAGCAAAAGGCTTTCTCCTCTTCTCCCAGCAGCCACAGAAAATTAATTTTGTACAGACAAGTGCGTTTTGAGCTGGTGTTTGTCAGAGGAGGAGCTGTGACTGTTCAATGGAGGCGCCAAGTTTGTCAGAATTCTTTGTGGGTAATGTAAATATGTTTCTTGTGAGTAGTGGTTTGGTTTCCTTGTCTCTTTCTGCTTCCTGAGAAAATGTTTTGCTGAAAACATATTGTATTAAGAGTTTTTGTTTTGTGCCTGCCCCTCCTGTCACCCCCTGCTCCCGATGTTTGCGAAGGAGCGACGCCGGGCTTGTGTTCATGTGGGAGAGCTGCTCCTTCACCTCTCACACCTCCGGAGGGTGCACTCAAGTCAAGGTCTGATCTGGGAAAGAGCTTTTTGGATGTGTTGTACAAAGCCATGTAATCTCAGCTCGGAGTGTTTTTAGGAACAGGGAGGATCTGCTGATCTGGTGAGTCCCCAGTTGCTGTTCAGCGCATGAATGGGCTCTGCCGTGGCAGCAGTTCCAACTCTCAACCAAAGTCCAAGCTGCTTCCAAAGGACAGAGCTCTGGTAAGCAAAGCTACATCCACACTTTGATAATCTCCCAAATGTTTTGGTCTTTGCCCTCCTGAGCACCATCACTTCATACATCTGGTTTCCTGCAACCCAAATGCTGCTCTACCTCCCACTTGATCCAGATCAGCAGAGCCTCTGCTTGTCTCTGTTTTAAACCCCAGACTTTCATCTCTAGTGAATTTTAATTTCCAGTGTAGTTTCATTTTCTCTTGGACTCCAGTTTTCAGCCCCAGAAGACAAACAGTCATCTAGTCTGGCTCCCACAGATGTGAAATGTGTTAGTGATGTTCTCTGCTGACTTTTCTGTACGTGGGAAAATAATGTTCTTTCTGGGTCCTTCTGAATCCTTTTGTTCTTTCCCCCACCCTTTCCTGTATTATCATGGCTTGGCCACTTGTCCTTCAGGAGTTACTCTCGTTTCCTAGTGTCTTCACAATATAAGAAGTTTCATGCCAAACACAGCATAGACAAAATTCCTGACAATCAGCACCTGAGGCTACCTGTGGAACAGCAAATTACTTTTCCATAACCATCTTCACAAAGGCAATTCAAACGTCCCACTTGAAGCCTTCCTGTCTTTTACTGCATTTTAAATGCACTGCATTTATTCAGTGCATCAGTACTGGTCCTGTCATTGTCACACCCTGTCCCAGAAGAGAACGTGTCACCTGAGTGCAAAGAGGAGACTCTGCCACGGGACAGACTGAACTCAATCACTGTCCCAGGTACAGACTGGAGCATTTCCCTTTTCCTCATTGCCACAACACTGAGTCACTCAGTAAAACTGTGATACTTGTCTAATCAGGTTTTATTCATGCTGAGGTTGGTGCAGGAGAGGACTTAGAGAGGACTAACCCTCTTCTCAGCAGATTTTTGTCTTTCTCTTAGTTCTAATATATTTCATAGTAAATAAGTTCCTCCCACACTGGAATTAATGGCTGTAAATACTTGTCTCTATCTCCATGATAAACTGAGGCACAGCCTAGTGAAAATTGCCCCAAGTACTGCAAATCCCTGCCCCCCTTCCCCAAAAATGCAAACCCAACCCTAAACCCAGCCCTAAACCCAACCCTAAATATTGTGAAGAAAACAGAAGGGGGGAAAAAAAAAAAGTCACATTCCTGTTCTGAAAGAGTGTTTGTAGATTCCCCTTCAGCAAGGACGAAAGAAATAAAAACTCAAACCAATTCAAATATAGGTCTCTTTCAACTTTAATATTTTGTTTATGTTTGCTCCTCAAAAGTCTTTCAGTTACATAAAAATACAGTTTAAGTATTAATCATTCCTTTAAACATTAAATAGGTGGATTTGCTTTCCCATGTGTGTCTTTAAAGCTTATATTATTGATTGATAAATATGAAAATAGTTCCCTCCCCCCATTTTTTTCTCCTTTGGTGAGCTGTGGTTACTCTCACTGCCAGGATTTTCCTGAAAATGGCCATATAACTGTAGTATAAAGTCATCCCTGCAAACACTGCCTTAAAGAAAAAAAAATACAAGTCTGCTAATGTGAAATCCTGTTTTGGTGTGGCCAAAATCTAAAATTCTAAAAGCAGCTTTAACGTGTTATAACATGAGGAAACCCCTTTCACCAATATCTTTTCTGTAAGTAATTGGGTGGGATCTGAAGGTGTCAGTTCAAATCACAATCTTCTTGGAAAAACTGTAAGTCTTTACCACATGTGAATATTGCAGGTATGTTATTATTAAAAATTATATATATCTATATAAAAGAAATATATATATAAGAAAGAGCCATTTCTTGAGCTGTCCCATTTTATTAGGCAGATAAAAACTATAAAGGATCGTCAGAGTCCCGTGCTTCAAATGCAGCCCTCCAAAGAGAGGGAATTTCCACAGATGTGCCCCTTGTCCGTGGGGATGAGCTTCCCTGTTTCTCTGTGGCACATCTTATTGACCCTGGCATCCCAGAGAAGGGATGAATAAATAAGAGAGAAACCCGAAAGCCAGAATCAGGAGATCAGGTGAAAGGAATCCAGTGTCCTGAGCTAAAATGGATTCAGATCCTCAGGAGGAAGAAGGGGGGGAGGTTTGTGTTAGATGAGGTTTGTCACATACCCTTGCCTAGAGGGGGTGACCCAGATGTTGCTCCACTGTGTGTGAGCGTTTTTTTTCTTTGCTCTGTGTTGTACCTTCAGGTAGGACAGTTTGGGATTATAGGAATGACTGCCAGGTTTGCAGTGTTGAGTGTAAACATACTCCAAACAAACCCCTTCACAGGCACTTAAGAACAGATTCCTCTTGAAGGTCCTCTGTACAGCTTGTCAAGTGTCCTTCCAGTGGTGTGTTAAAACTACAGGTTTGCAGATAATCCGTCCTAATCCATCCTAATGTTTCCTCTAAGTGTTTTGCTTTGGTTTATTTTAAAAGTGAATCTTTGCAGCTTTATCTTACAGTTCCTTTGAGTTCTGGGTTTTTCTGTAAGAGCAGCACAGTCCTTGGCTAATGCCTGGAGGAGGACAAGGTTACACTCTGTACTGAGATATGATTCACGAGTTGGTAATTAGAGAGGCTGCTTGATACAAAGAGCCAACAACAGCAAGAATAACAAAAAAAAAAAAAAAGAGGAAAAAAAAAGAGCAGAACGTTGAATGAGGTGAGAAATGTTCACTGGGAAGGAGAGCTCAGGAAGTACGTAAGTGTGAGGAGCAGCAGCAGGAGCTTTGCCGGGGGCAGGACGATGCTGGCGCTGGACCAGGACACCTTGCGCTCGTTCAGGGGCTGGATGGGCCGGAAATTTTCAATCATGTGAGTTGAGTTCTTCCCATCAAAGTGCAGAGCTGCAAACTGAGAGAGCTGGAGGCAGGGAAGGAGAGAATAGATCGTTAAACCTTCTTTTTTTCCCGCAGGACTCTGGGAATTGCGGTGTCGCGAACCCGCGGTTTTGAGCGGTGTGGGTTTGTTAAAGCTTGCAGGAAACACCGTGACGGGGGCCACTGCCAGAGGTCACCCATAGATGACTCCTGCCAGCCTTGGAAATCAGGGGCACTTCCTCTCTGTGTGAGCCAAATGCTTTGTTCACCTCAAGAACCTGGTCACCCCCGTCCTCCTGACGCACGCGGCCCTGTCCTTGTCCCCCACGTCACAGTGACACAAGGTAGGAGCACGAGGATTTCTGTCTCTGCCCCAAGTTCCTCACAGCACCGTGTGAGGTTGAGCTGTGCCTGGCTGAGCCCTGCCCTGTGACTGAGGGACTGTGAGGAAACTGTGAGCAAACTGTGAGCAAGCAGCTAAAATCCAGGTGCTGGCCCTCAGCCAGGCCGTGCAGCCTCTGGACAATCCGTGTTTTCGAGGCACTCGTGATTCAATCTCCTGTTCCACTCTACAGGTCAAAAATGGGCTGCTTAAAGCTGATGCTGATAGGCTCAAATTTGAATTTGGAGTTATTCTGTTCTGGTCTCCTGCCAGCGGGAGAAGAGCCATGAGGTTTGGGAGTGAGCGGGTGACAGCAGTGGAAGTGGTGCTGACGAAGCGCTGGGCAATTACCTGGGGGCTTTTCTTGGCTTTCTTTTCACGTCGTCATTTCCCCTTCCTTCCCCTTTCCTGCCATTTCTCCCGAGATGATTCAATAGGGTCAATCAGCTGGCACTCGGGACTGCATTTAGGCTGATGCCAAGCCAGTGTGTGTTTGGGACAGGGCAGGGGAGCAGCTGGTCGGGCTGTGGTGCTGGGGGAGTGGGCAGGCAGCCCGAGGGGCAAAGCAGACCCTGCCCTGTGACTCACCTGGGGAAGGCTGAGCTCAATTGGCATCTCAAATATCGTCCAGATGACACCCTCGAAGCAGTCAGGGGTGGTGAGGGAGCCCTCATAGCGATAGTACCTCCCAAGCTCTTCCTTAGGTGGGAGAAGGGAGCTCAGTGGCAAAGGATCCATCTGTGCTGACAGCCCTGAACAAACCACGGGGAAATACTGCCTGTAACACTTGTGGCTGCAGGTTTTGTCCATACTTATCTTCAGCCTGATCCCCCCATGCACCTCCCACGTTGCACAGCTTGTGAAACCCCTGTTACAAGTGTCTTTCTTACCTTTGTATTGAATATTCTCTAGTTCATTTAGAAGAGCTGCATAATTTTTATTTTCCTCGTCCACCTGAAACGGAAACATTTTGATTCCAAATCGTGCATTTCTCAACCACAGGTTGCTTTGAATTAATTGTGGCTAAACCAGGAAAGAACCACAAGGGTAAAAACCAGCAGCAAGCAGGATGTAGAAAGGGGTAGAGGAACTAAATGCTGACAGAATGCCTGCAGAAGACAGGGAGGGTTAGGTCCTGTGTACTGCAATATTGACACAAACAATCACTCAGCCAAGTTGCTGGTAGATTTGAGATGGAGAGTTAAAAATGTGACTACCTACCTTTATAAAGAAGGCAAGCACAGCCAAACCATCCTTGTATTTCTTGGCTTCTGCTACATTTGAAACATCCTCTCTTATGTGGACAAGGTGCAGCTGTAACACAATAGCCAAGGCTCTGGTTAGTGAGCAGTGTCCTCACTTCCATATTTCCACTCTCAGACTTCCCTAGGAGATCCAGCCAAGAGTTTTTGTGAACAGCATCTTGAAAAGCCAGAGTTCTGGAGTAAAATCCATAACCCCCCAGGATTCTCACCCACCTCCATGGCATATTTCTCTCCATCTATGCTGTGCTCTGAGCCAGGGATGTACTGCTGCACTCCTGGGCTGCTTTGCTGCAGACTTGGGACCCCCCAGTGCAAATGGAATTCTACTGCCTTGTATTTTCTTGCCAGTCCTCCACCTCCAACTTTCGGGGATGCATCCAGTGTTACCTTAACTGGAGGAAAAAAAAAAGGGAAATTGTTTTAAGGGCAAAAATTAGATCATGCATTGATAGGATGTGAGAGCAGAGATTCAGATTTATCCAAAAGTTCTGGCTTGAGTTTTCATACCAACTGTTCCAGAAATTCAATTCTGCAGAAACTGAACTCTTACAAAATTATAGCTGAGTTTAATTTGGAATGAATTATAACCATTATGACCTCAGGAGTCAGAGCTTCTTCTACCTTTCAGAAGACCCTCTATTCCTTCATTTTTTGTCTAGGAAAACACCTTCTATCAAAGTATTCTTGAAAGTAAATTTGATCACAGTTTATTTGGGTTTAACCATTGTTTTAATCTCCTGTTATCTGCACTGTAACATTTATTTTAGGCAGAGTTTAAAGACATTCTATTTTAATTTAGAGTAGTGCTGCAATTTAAGCCTAAGCATCTAAGTCATTATATCTGTTTAATGTGATGTTTGATCTGCTGTTAACAGCAAAACAAAATGTTCTTAGGAGATATTCTTCTAGTTAGACATCACCATCACTTCCTTGATACATTTGACATATAATTTTAAATTTTACTTATTAGGATCTCTGCATTAAACACAGCACTTTTCTCTGCATAGGGGAATTCTGGATTGCAGCCCCAGAGATTTCATTTGTGTTCTGAATTCCAAATGAACCTGGAGCTTGCATGAGTCACTTAATTCCTTTGCATTTTTATCTGTAAATTGATAAGTCACATATCTTTGTGGGCTTTGTTTATTTAGCTTGTGGGACCTTTGAGACACTGACCCTTGCTATCTGCCCATCACCAAACACAGGGATGGTTTAATCTCACCTGGAGCTTCTAATTGCAGTGGGAATTTATGCAATAACTCTTCCAGTGCTGTACTCATTTAGCCCAGGAACTGGTTGCCCTCAGAAGGAGGAAATTTTAAACCCCTAATCCTGGGGAAGATGAGAGTTCTGAGCAATCCTTATAAATATTAATTTTTGTGTAAAGGGACTGCAAGGTGGACATTCTAGGGCACCATTCTGTAATGGCAGAGTCATTAACCCACAAAAGTCACTGCCTTTTCCTTCTGGTCTGTCACAATACCAGTGTTTTAAACTAGAATCTCTGGCTGTTCAAATCTCCCCAGCTGCCTTCCTACCCCTTCCCTTTTAAGCCAGGAGGTGTTTGCCACTTGCTGCTTTCTGCTTTAAGGATTTGGCAGTTCAAATAACCCATCTGAGATTTTAAGAACACCTGAAGATAATTTAAAATAAAATACACCACAGGTTTATTTTTAAAGCTGAAGTAATTGAACATAATTTTGTTGAAGCATCATCATTACAATTGCTCTTAGTGAAGAAAGCTGGAGGAAGTGCAACAGTTCTAAATTACTCTTCACTGATTCACTGTTTACTGAATCAATAAGTAGCTGATCAACACACTCAGGTTACCTTCTGTGTGCAGAGAGAACAGGTTTAAATCTGAGAAGATTTCAGCTCATTATTTAAAGAACTAGTAGGACTCACACACCACGAGCCACTGGTGGAATGAGTGTCCCAGGTGATGTTTTTGTTTCAGCAGAATTCTTTGTGCAGAAGCAAAGTTTGCAAAGGGCAAGCCCAGAAATGAAGGGTTTAGGAACATTCAGCAGAAAATCATCTGTCTCTGCCCAAAGGGTTGTCCTGAACCCCTGTACCCACCCACATCCTCATCTCAGGTGCTGTTGGGGTTAGAAGTTCCCTGGACAGCTCTGTTTGTGCACATCTATAGGAACGAGTTCTGCTGAGACACTCAAGGGCCATGCCCAGAACCCCAAAACTTGATAACTCCCACAAAATTCCCAGAAAGTCTTAGCTCAGACAGTGTTCTGAAAGTTTCACTTCTGAAATATAGGGCTGACATCCTATCTGTGCTTCCTTGCTACAGGGATACCCAGCTCTGTGCCCAGGACGTGGAAGGAGCGAACGCTGGTTCCAAGGCAAGGCACAGGTAAATCCCACAATATTTGGCAGTACTTGCCTGTATGTCCATTATTTTCCACACTCCACTTTGAAGAGCCTTTCCCATCATATCCCTCAAAAGTCAGAGGCTTGAGGCTCTTGTCATAAACGACATTTCTGGTGACAATGTTGATGGGGGACTGTCTGTCCCCTTTGCAGGCGGCGTCTGTCAGGTGCCACTGGTGAGGATCTGTGGCAGGGTGAAGGAAACAAGTTTTTTCTGTAGACAGCAAATCCCTCATAAAACCAAACCACCCAACCAATATATTCTTGCTTGGGAAACTGGAAACATCAGGGTGATCTCCTCTAGACCTCATTTGGAGTTACTTTGAAAAATCAACAGTTACCACAACCACAGGTATCTTAAAAACACCCTCCCCTGGGTATCCTGTTTAGCACTTATGTGTGCATAAAGCATCAAGTGCTGAGTTGTGTGAGTTTTTGCATTATTTCTCTCCAGAGCCCCTTTGCAAAATGGAATAATCACAAATGTGATTGGAAAAAAATCACTTGGTCAGCTGTACCTTCACACTCCGGGTGTTCACACTTCTGGGACCGGTAGCACCAGTGGCTTCCCACTAGAGAAAAAGAAATCAAACCAGCAGATGTTCAAAATTAGGTGAATGAAAAGCTGCACAAATTGTCCCCCCCCCAAAATCAGCAGTGAAATGGATCCTCAGAGAGTGATGACTGGGCACATGTTTTTGAGAATTCCTTGGGGTTTTCTGCCCAATTTTATTCAGGTAGGATGTTTCATTTCTTAAGTATCTAACCAAGGAGGGCTGGCAGAGGTGAGTGCTTCAGCTGTAGAGAAATCTTGAGTTGCTCAAGACTCCTTAGCAGGGTGAAGAGCACCATGCAGCAAGTCCAGCTGGGTTCTGATATCCCATAATTTAGAAGAGATCTTAAAACCCCGCAGTGGACAGCTCTGCCCTCTCTAGATCTCCTCCTGGTCTCTACTGAATCAGTTCCTACCTGGTAACATTCCCCCCAGCAACAGTTCTAGCAGGAATCAGTAGGACTCTGTGTGGCTTCTAAATAATTTGATTTTCAAATCTTGGCTTCCGCAATTTCTTGAGGCAGAAGTTCCACATTTGAATACATGTAGTGTTAAAATAAATTCCCTTTATCAGTTCTGCACTTGCCAGCCTTTCGTAGACCTGTAAATTCACTTATGCAAGAGGACTTATTTCACTCTGTTCCAGGAACTATTCTAAAGGTTTCTTGGTGCCATAAGGAATTTGAAGAAATGAAGGATCTCAGTTCCTGGAAGACCTGAAGGATCGTTAGTGTAACCCAGCTGTGATCCACCCCACAGAGATGGCTGAGAATTTTTTCAGTAGAACATCTTAATTTTATTTTTTCATTGCCAGAAGAAATGCAGAGTTCAGAGGAAAAGAGCTGATTTAACTGAAGTATGTATTGATCTAGTCAGGAAAGGAGGGACTGTTTTGGTTGTCACGGGTTCCTTCAGTGGCTCTTTATGACAGATCTAAACTTGAAAAGGACTTGGACAGGAATAGTTCTCTTAGACCATCAAACTTTAATCCATAACAATTCAAAACCTTTTATAATGATGATTAATACTAGAGCTTCTGTTTTCTCATGATTAGTAAATTATAGACATTTTAGGAAATGGCAAATCAATTTTAAGGATCATTATGGAGGGGTCCTGTCATTAGATTGGTAATTACCAGAATTTGTAATTTATAACACACCTGCTGGAAGGCTCATAGTGGCTTTTACCACCTTTATCTTGATATCAGTAGCAGAGCAATACATCCATCCATTAAGGATTTAGAAGTTATAAACAGAGCCTTGACATAAAACATGGGCAACTATAACCCA